AAATTTTAAAATAATGTGTGTATGCAAAGGATGTAGAAGAGCACAAAACTATAGAAAACTGCTAGGCAGCTCAAGCACCCTAGACTCTACCAAAGAATGAGTCTGCTGGATTGCTGCTGTCCAGATAGAACAGCTCCAGCCATTTCCCATCCCTGGGCTACTCCATTCAAGCAAATAATGGGGAGCAAATGGTTGGGAACTCTCATCTGGGTCACAAGCCAGCTCTATAGTTCTGCACATTATGGGTGAAGGAAAATCCAAAGAGGTTAAGCAGGCACACAAATACCTATACTTATTGTGCAATGGATGCAAAGCCCTTTTAAATTACTACTTGTCTAACACTCAGAATTCTCATGCTTCTGGAATCAGCCTGGAGATTCTAGAAGCTGGGGGTGGAGGAAGAGTAGCTATAAGCTCAGCCCAAGGGAGCTGTGCCTCTCTGCAGTCCTGGAGAAAATGTGGAGGAACAGGCATGTCTCTTCCACCTCTTTTCTCCCTGAGAGGTGTGTACACTTCAACACCCAGACCATTTCCTCCATTTCTAGGTCCCTCCCTAGTGGGAAATGAGTGTCTTTGGACCCGGTTCTCTGTGTCCTGGAGACATTCACTGTCAGGGATGCGTTCAGAACTAGTTCTGGCATTGCCCATTCAGAATTAGTTACATCTTCAAACACAAGGCCTCTTCTGAATCAATGACCTTACCTGATCAAAGGTAATTGGTAATAATAGCCCCTGTAAAGTTGTTAGGAGGATTAATAAAGATAAAATGTGTAAGCACTTAAAGTAATCCAGATACAGAGTAAGAACTGTTTGTGTGCTGCTATCTTATCATTATCATCATCACCTTACCATGTTTCTCATTACAGAACAACATGAGATATTTAATATCAAGAATATCCTATTCATTATTGGAGATTATACTCAGCAGAATCAGAGCTGGTGTTGTTGTTCCTATTTAATAAAGGAAGCTCAGAAAATATAAATTATCAGTACAAGGTTGCATCCTACACTGCTTACCCCTAAAAACTGTCTTTCCTTTTCACCATGCTAGTTCCCAAAAGAAAAGGTAAAATTATTAATAAAAAATAATGAGCTTGCAATCCTGAAATTTTAAGCATACAGTAGGAAATGCCTGCCCTGCAACCCAACTCAGAAAGGACGACTTCTCTGAAAATCGAAAAATGACTGATGGTAAGGATGCAAAAACAAACAAACAGAAAAGATCTCTCCTACACTGTGGGAATGTAAATTACTACAGTATGGAAGTTCCACAAAAAACTGGAAATAGAACTATCATACAATCCAGCAGTCCCACTGTTGTGCATTTATTTAAAGAAAATGGAATGAGTACGTTGAAGACATCTGTTCTCACATGTATATTGCAGCATTATCTACAATAGCCGAGACACAAGAATCAACTGTGGTATCCGTTCATGGATAAGGAAATGTGGAATATATACACAATGCAATTCTGACATTTGCTGCAACATGGTTAGAACTGGAGGATATTATGCTAAGTAAAATAAATCAGGCAAAGAAAGATAAATAGTGCTTGTTGTAATATATCAGTGGAAGCTGAAGTTGATCTAAAAGATAACAACAGTCATTACCAGAATCTGGAAAGGCCATGGGGAGAGGGGGATGGAAAAAGGATAGTTAATGAGCATTGGGGGGCATTTGGATAGGAGGAATGACTTCTAATGTCCAATAGCACTGTAGGATAACCATGGTTGGTATTACCTAATGAAATATTTCAAAATAGCTACTAAGGAGGATTTTAAATATTTCCAAAGCAAAGGAAAGATATATGTCTGAAGTGACAAACATTCCAATTATCCTCATCTGATCTCATCATTATATATTGTACACATGTATTGCAACATCACACTGTACCTATAAATATGTACAATTACTATCCATCATGTATATGTATATTTTAATATACATTATTTTTAAAAACAAAGGAAACCTCTCTGGTTGCAAGAAAAAGCCACCTATGATGAACCCAAGCATTTCATCCAGTGAACTTTGAGTTTCTTTAGAGTAGAGAGCTGCTTTTCCAGCATCAAGTATGTCTTCTGGCACCTGATAATGATTAACTTATAGACATTAAAGTCAAGATACTCTGCAGGAGAGAAACGTGGGAAATTCTCCAGAGTACTTCTATGACACGGGTCCTTTGGAGCATTCTCTTTCCTTCTCCTTTCTGACCATCTCTTTTTTCTTTCTTAGTCAGGGAATCTACTTTTTAAATGTTAATCTTCTCTAATTGGTGCTCGGCTGAGCCTAATTTTTCTTGAGCCCTTCAGATAGTCACTTGTCCCATAAGCAACACAAATCCAACATATCCAAAACCATGTTTATTATTTCTACTCACACTTCCTCCTAATAAACTTACTCTTTTATGGCCTTTCTTGAATGCATTATCCACCAGGCCAGAAACCTTGGGACCTTCTCACTTCTTTCTGTGATCCCTCATCTGTCCACACTTCAAGGCTACTTGTTATTGCTTGTGTCTAGATATCCCTCAAAAGCTTCATGCAGTCATAGATGGGGCTTTTTCAGAGGTGGCTGGATCTAGAGTATGTGACACTGGGATTGATTCATGGTGTAATATAGCATCAAGAGCACTAGGATTAAGGGTGTGGGTGGTATCCTGGGTAAGATACAAGAGCTAGAAAGAGCTGTGGTTGTCCATTGTTGCTTTGCTGCCTTCTGCCTGCAATGAACTGTTTCTCTTCTGCTATACCTGTCTACCACAGCACCCTGCCTTAGAGCCAGCCAATTATGGACTGAAACCTCTACAAACTGTGAACTAAATAAGCTTTTCCTCCTTTAATTTTGTGTGTCAAGTATTTTGTGTCAGCAGTGAGAAAAGTAACTAAGACACTAATCCTTCCATTTCTGGATGTTTCCCTAATCTCTCTTCTCACTTCTTTTAGGCTATATCTAGCTTGGACTGCTGCAGCAGTCCTTTTGTCCTGTATCTTTTAAATCCTTTTTCTACTGATGTAATGTGATGTTTGAGGAAGAAATGACCTATCTGGTGTGCTACTCACTCACTTGGTTTCCTTTCCTCCAGAGCAGGAGTTTATAGAAGACCAAAGTATGTTGTCCCAAAGTATGCTTGCTTGAAGTAAAGATTATTTTGAGTATATTATCTTGAGAAATTGCAGACACAGAAGAACCTCTGAAACCAGAGAAGTGACCCTTTTATAGAAACATTTCCATCTGCTAAAGAAACCTCCATCTGTAAGAAGGTCTTCCTCTCTGTCCCAGGAAAATGACTAAACCAGTAGAGATTCTTTTCCATGGTGAAGAAGAACTGATATCTGCATTACAAGCCTTATCCCTGTTTTTAATGTTATTATTGCCTGGACTTCTTAGTCTATTTTCTGCTGCTGTAACAGAATACAATAGACTGGGTAAGTTATAGAAACTATAAGTTTATCTGTCTCATGGTTCTCTAAGATCAAAAAGCTGCATCTGGTGAGGGCCTTCACAACTGGTGGAAGTCATCACATGTGAAGAAAGCATGAAAATGAAGCTGAACAGGAAGAGTGGGGCTGTACTTCTCCTTTTATCATATATATACCCACAATAGCTAACCCATTCCCATTATAAGAACATTAATCCATCACTGTAGTTTATATTTAGATGTCCCCCAAAGCCACATGCACTCTTAGGTGGAGCTTTGGGGAAGTGATCAGATCATGGGGCCATGATGTTCATCAGTGGGTTAGTCTACTAATGGGTTTATAGCTGGGTGTGATGTTTGCAGGTGAAGCCTGGTTGGAGGAGATGGGTCACTGGGAGATTGGCCTGGAAGGGTCTATCTCCCTGCCACCTCCCTCGATCTCTCTCTCTGCTTCCTGCCTGATGTGCTATGGGTACTTATACTCTGTTATGTCCCTCTGTATGCCACCCTGCCCTGAAGCCAGGCAACTGTGGACTGGAACCTCTATAAACTGTGAGCCAAAATTAATCTTTCCTCCTATAAGTAGTTGGTGTTGGATATTTTTTCCCAGCAGCAAAAAAGTAACAAAGGCATCTACTCATGGGGGCAAACCTCTTGTATTAGCCTTTCATTGCTATAATAAAATAACTGAGTCTGTTTACTTATGAAGAGGCTTAGCTAGCTCACAGTTATGGTGGTTCAAAGCATGGCACCTGTATGTCTCTTCTCTACCCCGGCCCCTCTTAGCTGTAGCTGGACATGGTAGATGGCAATGGCAGAAGTATGTGCAGGAGCAAACAATCACATCTCAAAAAGAAAACCAGAGATTGCTGGGTGCAGCCACACTTCACCTTTTACAACAGCCCTTTGCTGAGAATGACCAAGGAGTCCCTTTTGTGAACTACCTTAATCCCTTCAAAGTGCATATCCTGATGACCTTAGGACCTCCACCAGGCCCCTCTGCTTAGAGGTCCCACTAACTCCCAAACCACCACTCTGGGGACAAAACCTCCAAACACTGGAACCTTGATTTGGGGAGACATTCACACCATAGCCCTCATGACCCAATCACCTCTTAGTTTCTCATCTCTTGATACAATTACAATGGCAATTGAATTTCAATATAAGTCTCAGAGGGAACATTCAAATCATAGCACTGAGCATCACCTCATAATTGGCCTTCCCCAAGACTTTCTTTTTCATTGCTGATGCTGTTTCATTGGACAAAGTTATTTAAACCTGAATTCAAAGTCCTCTCCTTGCAATTGACTCACTTTTCCTTGGGGTATTTTCAATGCATACACAAGATACACATTTTCCTCTTGCTAATGTATCTTTTTGCTATAAGGGTCTGTCCCAACTAAAACCAATATAGGATATAAAGTTATTTTCCCCTACAGCTATATGTCCTAGGCTCCCTAGCTAGGAGCATCAGCAATGTGACTGAGTTAACTTGAGTTAACTTTAGTTTTGCACAGCGGAATGTGGAGCAAAGTGATCTATCCACCCCCTGGCCTAATCCTCACAAGCTTTCTGAACAAACCTTCTCAGTTTTCCGGCATGATTTGATGGCTTGATGTTAGCAGTGTGACAGCTTTGGAAACCATGTCTTGAAAATTGCAGAGTCATTGACAGCCTGGGACTATGAGCATCTTCACTGAGCAGGGCCCTCACTGTCACCAACTGGAATCCATGCCACTAAAGAACAAAAATTCTTTATTGCATTAAATCACTAAGGTTTCAGGATTATCTGCTCTGACACCGTAATTAATTACATCAATTAACATACCTTTCCAAAGCAGAAATTTGACTCGCTTAATCCCTGTAGATTTCTATGTGGCACCCTTGAGATCAAGCCTATGGTGCACTGGCCCTGGCCCTGGCTAACTTGCTGCTCTCATCTCCCACCATGCAACTCCATGAAAATTTCTCCACTCCCCAGGATAGATCTCATATCTTTCTCTCTCTCCCTGGCTGCCTCTTCAGTGTTTGAAATACTCTTCCTGTTTTTTGTCATAAACTCTGTTCATGTTTACCATCAAGGATTAGCTCAAGTACCACGTGCACCAGAAAACCTTACCAGCTCACCCAGTCCTGGCTAGGTTTCCCTGTCCTCAGTGCTTCCCTCTACTTTAGTGTACACCAAACCATATTGTACTCCTATTGTATGTCCACCTGGTCAACCCCGTAGGCTGCAGATGAGCACCATGAGGAGAAAGCATTGATTTATCCACTACAATATCCCAGCTCTAGCCAGTGCTCTGCGAATGTTTATTAGACTGAAACCTTTCTCATTCCAGCTGATTCATTCATGAGGCTACTGGTCTAATTTCTTTGTTCATTAAGCTTCTTCTCTTTTCAGAAGTACTCCAAGAAAGCCTTGTTTATCAAGGAAATTCAATGCTACTCACTGGCTAATGAAATCATGTTTTCATTTTGATTATGTAGAAATCCTAGAGAATGCTAGAGCAGGAACATGGTTGGGAGTCAGTGGGGTAATAAGGAGACAGGACCTTCAATTCTCACTTCCAGTCCCTGCTGCTGCTGCTGCTGCTTTATATATCTTTTCCCAGTTGTCATGGGTCACCAAAACATGGATTGCTATGCCAGCAGCAATTCCTCCTCTGCACTTGCTCATATATAGGGAACTTTGGCAAGACTCCTAAGGCCACTGTACTCAACATTCAGACCTAAAAGGATGCCATGAAAAGCTCCTTCTAGGGGCTCCCCTTTCAGCTGAGCAACTCACTGAGCACCCCCACAACCAGGCCTTGACCCATCCCCGAAGATCCAGCTATCCCACTCCCTCCACACCTTGTCGAGGCCCCTCTCTACACTACACCTCAGTGGGTTTACACCTTCAAGTGAAAGAAAAGGGTTGTGGGAATGAGGCGGGAGGATCCTGCCCAGTTCCTTTTTTAGCTCTGAAACCCAAAACGGCTATTAACTGCCTCCATTAAGAGTAAAGAAAATTCAGATCTTAGCAACACAGACTAGTTAATCCTGGAAGAGGGAGGAAAGATATTCCATCATTTCCAATGAAGCTACAGGAGGATCAGATGAGACACAGGCCAATTCCGCAATTGCTCTGTGATGTGAAGCTTCGCTGTGAACGTACTGTATTGCTAGTGCTAACAGGGCCCTGTCCTGTGAAGAGCTCGTGGCAGTGGCATGACTGAGAGGGAAGGTGAATAAATTCAGAACTGGAGCACAGTGAAGCTCAGTGAGGGATAGGCTAACAGGAAGTCCAAGGTGAGTAAAAGATGCACAGAGCAGGTGTCCAGCCCAGCCTGGCAAATCCAGAGGCAACAGCAGAGCTAAGCCTTAGGGAACCAAGGACGTTTGGTGAGCCAGAGGAGCCAGGAGCCAGAGGAAGCCAGAAGAGGTGTGTTGCTTTTTTTTCTTTTTTGTATAAGCTATAAAAAAATCCTTCCTCTTGTTAAATAGAGGTTAAAGGGAAGTCATTAAAGATCTTAAGCCTGAGAGTGACATGGTGATTGAGCAATCTGGACAGAAGCCAAGCAGGAGGCAGGGGCCAGTTCTGAGGTTTCTCCACTGCTCCCCTCCAGGTGAGCCATCTGCTAATTATAATCTGCCCATGAAACCACAGCAGTGACACAGCACTGAGGGTCCCTGCTTTTGCTAGGACTCTTCATAAGCCTGACCCGACAGAGGGTCTGGATTCTTGTCTCTGTTTTGCAAAAACCTCAGAGGTCACCTGACATCTGCATCCTGGAACTTTGTAACCTGACCTCCTTGGACCCAGGAATGCCACTGGACTGATGGGCCCCTCGAGGTGGGACCACGGAGGGAGCTCCTCACTGGTGGGGAAAACCCCACAGGTGCATGGAGTTTCCCTTGACTGGTGGTCAAAGCACATGCCAACCACCATGGAGCAACATAAGGACTGTGTTGCTCACTGACCTTGAAGGCTTAGGTTCAAATTTATAGTTCTTCGGAGACTGTCAGAAGCCAGGGTGAGTCATAACCCTGGCTGGCCTTGGGGGAGGGAGGATGGTGGGGTGTGAGTCATTAACATGAGGGGAAGACTCATTAACATGGGACTTGACAGAGACCTGAACCCCATGACGATGATGGCTTCTGATGTTGTCTGGTTTCTCACAAGTTATCTGTAAGACTTTGAGCTGAACCAGGGGCTACAAAAGGGAAGGTGTGGTAGTTTCTTACTAATGAGATTAGATAACCAGAGGGAAAAATAAATAAGAGCAATAGGCCAAAGACTGGGCTAGCTCTAGAAAACCAGAACTCCATATTATTTTACCAAAGCACAATAAATAGGCCAGGCTTGATGGTATATGCCTGTAATCCCAGCACTTGGGAGGCTGAGGTAGAAGGATTTTGAGTTTGAGGGCAGTCTGGGCTACATAGCAAGATCCTGTGTCCAAATACAACAACAACAATAATAATAATAATAAAAATGATAATAAACAAAAGGTTGTATTTTCTTTCCTCCAAAACAATGTGACTTGGTAGTACCACTGTACTGCAGGAAGTGCATGAGTGGTCTCTGGGGCCCGATAGGTCTGTGCTTGACACGAACTCTCCTTCACTGGTTAATCACAGGCAGTCCGTTGAACCTCTCTGGTCCTTGGCTTCCTGATCTAGCCCACACATGTTAAGGAACAGCAAGGCCACCAATCACAAACAAGTACTCCCTGCCAGGCACCAGACCTGGTATCTGATTTGCATCAACCCAAATGATTCCATCTGCTACGGTCTGGATGTGGTTTATCTGGCCTCAGTGTTGGAGCGAGAGTACTTCAGTTACGGGGGTCTGACCCTCCCTGAGATGTTACAAACTGAGGTCCCCCATGTGCTTCACACACAGTCATTTCCCTTTTCATTTCCCCACCACGTTTGGATGCTGTCAAGGGGTCCTTCCTACGGCACCAACACCATGCCGTTTAGACATTTCCGGCGTCAGCATCGTGAGCCAAATAGCACTCCTCACTTATTAAGCAGTACTCAGCCTCAGGAATGTCATCATAGTAACACAAAATGGGCTAAGACACCATCTCTATCTTATAACATATTCATTTTACGGATATTGACAGGATTAAACAAAATAACCCAGTACAAAAATCTAATGCCTAACATAATACAGGGACTAAATAGACTCCTCTTTGCTTAACCTGTTGCTCTCTACGGAAGACTGACTATCTGCCAGCTCTACACCCTGTCGGACATGTTCAGTTGAGTTTAGTTGGGTTTATACACATCTCTCCTTCCGAAGGGCCTTACTGGTGGTCAGAAGGATGGATTCCAATGACTGAGACTGTCCAGATTCAAATCCACAATCAGCCCCAGCCAGAACAACTTTGGGAAAGTCACTTCATCTCCCAGGGCCTCAGTGTCTTCACCTCTGTAGTGGGAAGAATCAAAGCAAACCTGTTCTTTGCTGTCTCCTAGCATCCGGTGGGGGCCGGTGACCTGCAGCATTCCTTGGCTTCTAGTGACATCACACTGGCCTCTGACTTCATCCCCACGTGACACTCTCCCTGTGTGCACGCCTGTCTCTCTCGATTTCCCCTTAATCGCACTGGATTAGGTCTCTCCTCGCTGATTTCCTTTTAACTTCATCATCTGTCAAGATCCTATTTCTAAATAAGGTCATTCTGATGATGAGTACATTCACAGGTACTGGGGGTTAGGACATCAGCACATTTTGAAGGATGAAATTGAACCCATAACTCCAGGTGATTTCAATATACAGCAGGAGCCAGAACCAGTTTTGTAGGCCAGAGCTTTTCAAGTGCAATGTACCGGGAACCCCCAGGGGACCTTGTGAACCGGCCCATTCTGCTTCAGGGGCTGAGGGTCTGCAGACTTAGGATGCAGGTCCCGGGGCCCATGCTTGGGGTAGTGAGACCCTTTCCAGACAGCACCCCACAAGATCCAGAAGTGACTGCCAAGCAGGAGAAGACCTTGCTCTATTTCAACAGTGGCAAGAGCTGCTATCCCAACATTTTACTATTTTATTTCATTATTCTCTTGGTTTTTATCACTTTCTACTTATTGTAAATCTCCCATCTCAGTGCCCAGGAAAATGCCTACAGGTAGAACCCCATCCATCACACACCCCATAGACAGCATCCTGGTGAAGGGTGGGGAAGAAAGGGCTGGGCCCCCAAGCTCCGGAAAAGTTTTGTGGCTCGCATCCACTCCCCTCCCCCGACTCCGGCCCGCTTCTTCGTCCATATTCAGGGCCACTTGGTTTTTCTTGCTGTCCTCTTGGTGCCGTCCTCCCCACCCACTCCCAGCACCACCATCTGTCAGCTCAGCCCAGCTGGAGCCCAGCTGTTTCCTAGGAGGTGACCGCAGGCAGGCACCTGCGAGCAGGGCCGAGGCAGGGCCGAGGCAGGGCCCAGAGCCCCATGGCCCAGCGAGGCCGGCCGGGAGCCACGGAGGAGCACGGCCTCGAGCAGGGACAGGGAGCGCTCCCGAGACGCGGTGCTGAAGGCGAGCCCGCAGGCACACAGCGCCCAGCCTGCCAGGGCTGCAGGCGCGGACAATGGAGCAGGCAAAGCCAGGGACAAAGACGACAGCTGCGCAGCAGGGCAGGCAGAGGGGCAGCCCGCGCCTCGCCTCACAGCCTCCTTAATTTATTTATAGATGCGCTGGTTCTTTATGTGGCCTAGTTAAGGACGCCTTTCCATAAATACATAGAAACGGATGTTATTCTAGAACCCACCAATAATAGACACAGCTGTAGAGTTTGTTGCTGGATTAACAGCCCCGCCGGGCTCACATCACCTCCTCCCTCTAAAATAGAAAATAAAATTACAAGTGCGTGTGTTTTGTTTTGAGTGTTTTCATGCAAGAGCGCGACTCTACTTCCAAGTGGCAATGAAATGCTTCTTTAAGAGCAAAAGCACAGCGTCTTGGGAAACAGAGAAATATGAAGCAAGGCTACACCGTTGCAAACCAAAGCCTGAGCCCCCTGCTTCCATCCTGAGCTGTGAGCATCGGTGTAACCGAAACGCAATCCTCCTCTTCTGGGGACTACACCGGGTGATTCATTTCTCTGCAAAGTATGATTTGCCAAACGCGATTCTGAGCTGCTCACTGGTTTGGGATGTTGGCCTCATAACTGCTCTTTGCAGTCTAGGGGCCCAGAAAGAATCAAATCATTACAGAGCTGTAAAGGAGCCCCCAGCCCTCACCTCTTTGTTATTTCTCCGTTTGTTCTTCAGACCCTTAATTCTATTATCCAGCTGTAATTTGGCTCTGTGTCTCTCCAACATTCCTTCTTTTATTCAGCCTTTCTTTTTAATCAATTGATTCACCTGTAATTGGATTTTCTCTGGCTCTTACCAGCTATTAAAAGTAACTGTGTGTGTGTGTGTGTGTGTGTGAGAGAGAGAGAGAGAGAGAGAGAGAGAGAAAGAGAGAGAGAGAGAGAGATTTTTAACTAGGCTATGCTTTCAGACTGCCTTACAATCTTCAATCTTGCTCAGAGTTTCCAAGTATGAATTCAATTCCCTGAGCTCTACAGAGGCAGGAGGGAGTAGCAGAAAGAATACAAGCTTTAAAAGGAGGCAGAACCATGTTGTGTTTTGTTCTATTTAAGACTAACATTTATTGAGCTCATACTATGTGACAAGCATTCTTCCAAGCACCTTATACACATTAATAATCCTCCCCACATCCTTTTAAGGCAAGCCTGACTATTTCTCCATTTTACAGATGAAAGTGTGGAGACAGGGAGGGAGAAGGAACATGACTGTGATGATCTAGTGGCCCAGTTCTTGATCAAATTATCATTTTCCGAAGTTCTATACATTTCATATCTGTGACCCTTGGGCACAGCCTCATTTTTTCTGCCTCTGTTTCCATGTCTGCATAATGAACAAGATCTGGTTTCCCTCACAAGGCATTTGCTGGAATGTGCTGAGGTCACAGTGCCTGATTTGCAGCAGGGGTTAAATGTGTGATCAATCTACATGAAGGGACATTGCTAGGGAGTCCAGTAATCCCTGTGATGTGGATCAGACCAAAGACTAAATAAGGGAACCCTGGGAGCACAGAGTACAGAAATAGAGTGCTCTTCTCTGACACTAACTAAGCCACCGCAGCCTTTGCTTTGGAGGGATACAAACAGAAACCACGCAGACCAAGTTAAAGAATGGCTATAAAGATCATGCTGCTGACAAGTGGTAGGATTGCAGATGAGCCACTTCTGCTCCTCAGCCCCGCCTTTTTCCTGGGGTAACAGGATGGGGTGGAGTTCACTGATCGCTGAGCTCTCTTCCGTAACCATCTCGGGGAATCAGCTCCATGCTGTCACCCCAAGGCTGGACCTACTGCCTGCCAAAACTATGAAGGGTTGAGCATTTCCCAGCTTCATTTCCTGTAGTTACTTAACCACTACCACAGATACACACAGTGGACACTTGTACAGCATGCAGCATGGGGAAACTGATCCATGGGTGGTTAAATCATTTGCCCTTGTGGTGGAACCACAGTGTCCCAACTAAGGTATAGTCATCCTTAATGATCTTGGGGTGTAAGACCTCAGGCAAAGACTCTGATGGGGTAGGCTAACTGCAGGAGGTCAGTCAGGCACTGAGAAGGGAGAAATTACTCAACAATGGATGTGCCAGGTGGACACCACACTTAGCCTTTTGCTGGACCATCATTGATACCGTGTGACACTTTCAACCTCCATTTCTTAAATGATCCAGTAGTATAACACCTGGGCCTCACATCTTGTAATGTTCTAATTCCTTAAGCTATTATTTTTTTGCTTAAATTCTTTTATTGGTACATTTTAGGTATATTATTAACAATAATAATTATTGTTACAGTTATGGGAATGAATGTTTAAATATGGCCTATTTGTGGGAAGGCATGCAGAAGTTTTGTGTATAGTTATCAGATTCCTTTTATGTCAGATTAATATCTATTTTTTAGGTTAGACTTTCCAAATCAATCCTAGAAACTGTGAACAAAATTGGCCCCCATGCTGTTCAGTGAGAAATGAAACACAACTTTGATTGTCACTCAAGGGGTAGAGCTAGGAATTAACCTCTACTGTGAAACTGCAGAAGAATATAGTTTCATAACTTCCAATATCTGGCAAACTCCACCGGCACTATTTGCAAAAGCAATTTTGCAATGACCACGTTTGTTATGGGTTACATTTTTTTAATCTTTTCCTTGGGAAATCCCCAGAGAATGTTTAAAATTCTCCAGGTTTAAAGATTTGTTTTCATTCTAAATTTTCCCCAAACCACATCATCCAAAAATGTAGCACTCCTTTTCAAATGAAAACAGCATGTGTGCATTAGCTCTGATATCACTGAAAAATATGCTCTAATTGGATCAAAACTTCACAGACTGATCACTGCAGTATTCTTTGAAATTGCTAATGGTTGTAAGCAACTTATATATCCAACTGTGAGGAGCTGGGACAGTAAGTCAGGGCATCTCAACAGCACTCTTGTTGCTATTAGTGAAGGGCTGCAGGGGACCGGAAATAGGGACTGACTGTAAATGTATATGGGATTTCTTTTGTGGGATATGACGAGGCTCTGGAATTCAGTAGTAGAATTACTTAACCTTGTGAATACACTAAAAAAACCCACAGGCTTACACTTCAATAGCTTAAATTTTAGAGTATGTAAATTATCTCAATTTTTAAAAAGTAGTTCAAAAAATTACTAGTGCTTTGTACATTGAATCAATAACCTGTAATAGAAAATTGAAATAGCAGATGTTATATGGATACACCTCTTGATATAAAGTTCAACATATAGATTAAATGTGGAGGATCATGTTCCAAGTGAGAAATATGACCCATTTTGATTAAAAAAAATAATATCTATGTCTAGATGGACCTAGGAGAATATACAACAAATTGTTATTTCTGGCATTCTAGATGGTTTTGATTCTTTCTTGTCTCTTGAGTGATGGAGATCTGTCTCTTCATACAAAAAAAAAAGCAATAAACAGCCCTGAGAGCAAAGGTATGAGACAGAAAGATTGTAGCTTAGACTTTCACCTAAACCAGGTGACCCAGCCTCGGCACCATTCAGCAAGCTCCACATGGCGTCCTGTGTTTGAGGTGGTGGACATCAACACTCAGCAGTACAGCCCATGCCCAGGACTTGATATTTACTTCTCCACTGCCCTTCCCAGCTCTTTCACATTGACTTAGAAAATGAAGGAACTATTCTTCTCCCTATGTAAGTCACAAACAAAGTCAACTTCACTTACCAACCTCTTTAAAAAACATTGGTTTTTCCCACTACCCAAGAGTCCTTTCTAGATCTGGGCTGAGTGATTTTTCTTGACTGGTTGATTCTGTTTTAGTGACGGTATGTACAAAGTCATACTTGCCAAGAAGGAGAGAAAGTGGGGCTTGCAGAGCACCTGCTCTAGGGTGGGCATGTTTCCGGA